TGTTCATTTTGCGATTTTTATTGTACCAAAACGCCACTTTCTAGTCAGCCCGTTCAACCAAATTCTGCCAGTTGTATAGTAATTGTGATCATGCACTTCCGATCAACTGGCTGATTATCATACGAAAACGCAATCCCGTTCATTTTTCATATGATAATCGCAAGGTGTATGGGCACCTTTAGACTAAAGGTGGCCATACACTGTACAACCATCGCAAGACGTACGATTTTTGGCTGGTTTTCTAGCGTGCTCCTTAGACAAAAGACGTGCGACCGTACAGTAGAAACGGTCGTACAGTAGAAACGGTTGCACGTCTTCGTTCACACTGCTCGATTCTCGTACGAGATTTCCCGCGATTCTCGTACGAGAATCGAGCAGTGTATGGGCACCTTTAAGGTGGTTAAAACATGCTCACGGCTGCTGCAGCTGTGATCAATGTTTCATTATTTTCAGCTGCCTCCCAACTATCAGTAAAAGTAATCCGGCTATATATCCGGGTGGCTATAGAGACACTTCTAACCCCAAAGAGGCTGGGTGGGCCTTTGTACACCAAGTAGAGGTGTTCTGCCAATCTAAAATTAAAAAAACAGGCAGTTTGCTCATGGATGCACAATGCTTCTAAACCAGAAAGCTGATATGCATTTTAAAAGCACATTTTCATTTTTTTCCCAAGAGAAAAAAACACACAAATCATTAGTTTTTTATTTTGGCGAAAAGATAGGTATTAGTTTTTTTATTTTGGTGAAAACACCCACACCAAGGGTCCTCGTGTCTTTTAAGTTCTACACTGACACTTCAACGAATACAAAATAAAACATTTTATGGGTTACTTAAAATACACTTTTTTATGGGCTCCCAGACCTTATCCAGGAAACACTTAGCTGCCAACAGCAAGAAACAAAAATGTGAAAAACAGGTAATTTATGGATGCTTTAAATCAGCATATTAGTGTCACCTCTATTTATTTAGCAGATGCCTTGTATGCATTTTAAATGCTTTTTTAAACTACTCCCCAAAAGATCAAAACACAAAAAATCATGAAATATTAGTTCGTATTTTAGCCAAAATATGTAAGCTCATCGCCCATGCCAAGATCCTCATGTTTGGTGGGTACACTATAACTTCTCAGAATACTAAGAAAATTATGCTTTTTATGGGTTACCTTAGCGTTTTCTCACACCACGCCCAGGTAACTCTTTGATTACTTAGAGCAGGGGTAGCAAACCTCCGGCTCTCCAGCTGTGGTGGAACTACAAATCCCATGAGGCATTGCAAGATTCTCACAGCCACAGACATGACTCTCAAAGAGAGATGCATCATGGGATTTGTAGTTTTGCCACAGTTGGAGGGCCGGAGGTTTGTTACCCCTGACTTAGAGCAATGCTGTACTCTGCCTTCTGTAAATCCCTTCTGGGTTCTGGACAGGACGGTTGCAACACAGTGTAATTTTCCAAAAGTAATATAAAAATCCATGTACTGATATTTGGAGGTAAAGATTTGCACACACCAAAATGAGAAAATTGGACTATTGAGATGGCTGCTTAAGCATTAGAAAATATTTGTCTTTAAAAAGTCCTAAAAAAGTGCGTGGCACAAATGTACCTTTAAAATAAATTAGACATTCTAAAATTTCTCTCCATATATTACAACAATCTGTGAAAAATGGAGCTCAACTTTCCAGATGTGGAACTATACACTGCAGCTGCTAATAGATATTTGAAAGATTGGATCCATGGCATGAGTAGTTTTTCAAACTCCGACCTGGACCAAAATCTAGTACCTGATCTTAATCTTATATACATACTTCATATGCATAGAGAATGTCTGCCTGAAGAAGTCATCTCAAATCCTCTTTTATATTTTGGTTGGACTGTATAGCATAAGCTTCAAGATAGACACCTGTTAAATAGCCATTCCTCATTGTGGCTTCCTTTCTGGGGAAATGTAGGGGGTTATTCACAAAGCTGGCTGAAGGATCAGCCATAGCTTTGGCTGATCCTTCGGCTAGCTTCAGTTGCAGGAGCCCTTCAGTTCAGTGGAACCGAAGGGCTGCTGTAGGGGCTATTCACTATAGCCCGTACATCTCCCAAAGGCAGACAAGCGGCTCAGACGAGCCGAAGATATAAGCTTCGGCTCGACTGAGCCGAAGTGACAGCCAATGCGGGTCGAACAGGAAGCCGAATACCTTGCAAATGACAGCTGAGCCTCCGGCAGCTTAGTGAATAACCCTGTTAGATTTCCTCCATGCTTCTAGAAATCAGCTTTTTAAACCAATGGGCAATGCAGGGACTTTCAACAGTTAAGTCTTTTATTTCAACCATTGATCATAAACTGTTGACTTTTGCAGCTGTTTTGGAGAGTTTTCCATTTGTGAAACATGAAATATTCACTTTTATGCAGATGCATTCCTATGTAACACACATCCTTAAAAACCTTTCATTTTTAGATTGGGAAACCCCATAGATCGGCTGCTTATGAAACCCAACTTAAACAGGGGTGCAATAGCTAGCACCCATAGGTATTATAGACTAGCTTTGGATTATGCAAAACAATCTACTGGCCTCTCAAAGTGGACTAACTGTTTTCTAAATATATCCATTACTGAGATTTTGCAAGCTTTTAATAAAGCATGGACACGGTTACTGCATCCACTTATAGAGAAATGATACTAAGAATTTTTCATTTCCCCATACAGGTCTTATCATATAGGCCTCAGTAGTTCCTCTGGATGTTTGAAGTGTGGACAGGAACTATCAGATTTGTATCATGCTTTTTGGAGTTGTCCCAAGATAAAATCTTTCTGGAATAATATTGCCCAGTATACTCAGTAAAACTTGGTTAATCATTTACCTCTCTCTGTTGCTTTTGCGATCTTTGGAATCTTAGATTTGCATGGAGTAAAAATTGCAGCTGGATGTAGAAAGTGATTGTCTATTATATGATTGGTGGGAAAGAAAATGGTTTTGCATTAATGGATACATCCTGAACCACCCTCTCTAACTATTTCTTGAGCAAGTTGATGTTTGTATTCCAGAATGTTTGGACTGAGACACTGCTTAGTAAGGATATTCAGTCCCATACATTCTTGTCAACTATTACAAAAAGATTTCCAATGATCCCCGATAACAATAGCTGAATAGAAGAAGAGGGTATCTTGTTCATGCTGAGGTTGGCCACTGCAAAAATGTACTAATGTTTTTTTTCTTTTTCTGCATGCTTGTTATTGTATTTATTATGTAAACCTGGAATACAGGTGTATGTCCTGTTGTGCACTTTTATTATGTGCACTTAGAAGTTACTTTTGACAATACTTTTTTTATAGTGTTTGTGGTCTTTAACCACCTTCCATCTATGGCTGTTTGTGAACGGCCGGACGTGAGTCTGCTGGGAGGGCGTCTTAAGACGTCCTACCCATCCCCCCTCTCGTGTGCGGCGCTCAGCGGGCACACCAGAGGGAAAACTGTGAGCATGTAAACAGCCAGCGATGACTGTTTACATACAAGCGATCAGGTGTCTGAAGAGACGCCCAATCGCTTGCAGGAGCTGCGGGTGTGTGCCCCCCGTACCTCTGTCCCGCCGTCTCCTAACCGCTGCTGCTGGTCCCGTCGTCCGCTGTGGCCAATGCGGCTGGGCCCGGCACGGCGACGCTCTAACAGTAGATCAAAAGTTGATCATTACTCGATCTCCCTTTGATCTCTTTTCCTGTCCCCGAATGCAGGAAGTGATGTACATTACATAATTTCCTGCATTCAGTGTCACTCTCCGGTGCGGAACAACGGAGAGAAGCTGATGAAGTAGATCTCTGCTTCATCAACTTCTCTGGGGGTCCCTAGTTGACATCAGGGGTCTAGTAGACAAAAAAATTTAAGAAAAAAGTAGACAAAAAAATTAAGAAGCTAAAAAAATATTCACAAATAATAATAAAAAATAACACAAAAATGTTTTAAAGTCCCCTGCCCCCCCCATAAACACGTAAACATGCGTCGGGTGCGCCTATGTACGAAAATGACGATTGCGCCCATTATGCCGCACATGTTACATAACGCCACAAACGTCTGAGTGAGAGCAAATTTTTTCTAGGGCCATCAATCACTGAAAACACTAAACTGATGTGCAGTAAAAACGTTTAAAGCATCGCCTATGGCCAATTTTGGTTGCGGTTGTTGTCTTCGATTTCGCGACCATGCGCAATTTTAAAGCTTAACATGTTTAGTGTCTATTTACCCGATGTGACCCCGTCTTTTATATTGTACCAAAAAATTGGGGTGATAATAAATGTTTTATAACATTTTATAGAGAAACGTTTTTTTCAAAATTTAGGGTACCTTTTTTGTTATATAGTAAAAAATAAATACCCCAGTGGAAATTAAATACCACCAAAAGAAAACTGTATCTGTCCTCAAAAAATGGTATGAAATTCATTTCAGTACAGCGTTGCATGATGGAATAAACGTCAGTCAAAGTACCGCAGTGCTGAATACTGAGAAATGGCCTTGCCAGGAAGGGGGTGAAACACCATGGTCTCCAAGTGGTTAATAAAAAGAATAAAGTATAAAATAAATTAGACTATGCAGTGTGTATAACACAACTCAATGTTTTCATAGAATCTCCCTATGTTTTAAAATAATATAGTGTAAGAAATATATAATATACAGAACATAAAAAATTACAGCATGCAATACTGGATTTATTTTCCTCCGGGATGCCTCAAAGCCAGACAAGTTTTGTGACAAGAGTCAAATAGAGGACAGTTCCATGTAGCGTACAACAAATTACACTTGCACAACATGCATTACACACAAGCACAGTCTTTTTCTTGAGCTTGAACTTTACTTGCAGAAGCTTTCTGCATTTTAATCTAATGAGCTGAATGAACATCAGAGAAGCTTATTATGCTAAATACAAAAGTCCTTGTGTTCCATGTTTACCGCCCAGTACACCCAAAATAGTAAGCAGTAAAATACTGGGAGTTTTGTAAAACTAAACACAAGAGCTTTTTACTGGAATGAGCATGGAGGATGTGGATTTAAATTAAACATCTACAATCTAAAAATGTGTAAGTATGAAATAATATTTTACCTCTTTAAATATACTGTACTACAAGCTTAACATGTGCATCTTTACACTGAATTATTAGACTTTTGAATCTCTAAAACCAATGAGTTACATTAAATGTTGAGACTGTATTTGGGTGTTTATAGTAATAATAGTTTTGTATCCCTGCATAAGATGTCAAGCTGTTACATCAGTGATACACGTTTTTTTTGTAAACAAATTCACTCTTTAAGAAACTGAAGCATGTAGAAGATGAAAATTAGTTAAACAAGTATACATGAATGTATTAAAGTTTGTTAACACACAGACCATTACACAAAGTCTGTTTGCATCCATAATTGATCCAGTGATTATTTTTTTAATTTACAGTTAAATTTTCATGAATGTTTTTTCAGATGTCAGCTATTTATTAGATACAACTAAGTGATAAGTTGTTTTTCTTATTATACAAAACTCTTACATATACAGTCAAACTTGAAACAGTATATGTTTACTCTTACTAAACCCAGGAGTTAAATCTTAAAAATGCATTCAAGTAGGGATGTTCAGATACCAAGTACTGTACTCGGTACAAGTACAGATACTTTTCTACCTCCAATACTAGACTAGAGAGAAATTTAAAAGTTAGGAGGCAGCTGTCATTTTTAAAGAGCATACACAACTGCTGAGATTTACGCATTCCTGTTTTAATGTATAGGGGATGCACCGATACCATTTTTTCAAGTACAAGTACTGGTACTTGTCCAGGTACTCACAGATACAAGTACTGATACATTTTTGTTTATTGTCATGTGAATTTTTTTTTTAAACAATACGACTAATCATTTCAGGACAGTTGTGGAGCACCAGAGTCAGGTCCCAGGTGCAATAGCTGCAACCCTGGTAGTTCTCTTGAAAAATGCCAAGTATCGGTACTGGTATCTGAACTGGTATCTGAACATTCCTACATTCAAGTACCTTAACTATTAACAAATGTAGGTTATTTGTATATCACTGTAAAGTAGCCACCGCTCCAAGCTAGCTCCCATGATAGACTACAATCTCACATTTAGTTTACTAATTTGTATTGAAATTATAGTCCATCACAGGAGTGAGCTCTGAGCAGTGACTACTTAACAACACACATAGGGACCATGAGGAAAAGGTAGCCACCCTCCAGAAGAAAGGGCAGTGTCAGCACAAATACAGAGATGTTTTGAGGATCTGCAGCTGAGTGATACACAAATAAGATACATTATTGTTAATAGTTAAAGCACTTAAATAAATTTTTTTAAGATTTACCTCCTGAGTTTAATTTAACAAATTATACATTTTCTGTCACTTTAAGAAATTATAAAGTTTCTTTCTCAAAAAGTATACTGTTCCTAATAAACGTATTATGAGCATGATTTTTATCTGCTGTTTTAATCTAGACCAAGTGCAATCATTATAAGAGTAAACTTTGAATTAAATTGTCCAGAATATATTTTGTAGTATGAAGAATTTGTGAATGGTAGATATGCCGTAAATGGTAGAAAGTCACTCACACTCCAAAAACTTTTGTAGTCAGTCATCTTTATTGATCATCAAAGTGTCACATTGCGTAGCGATATATGGATATGCCAAGCAGGTATTTTATGAAATTGATAAATATGTTATAAAGTCTATTTTTCCATTACAATTCATGATATGATTCTTTCATATTATGACTGTAAGGTTTTATTTGTGATCCGGGTGTTATAATAACTAACTGAATATAACAGAATACTATATAAAAAAATGAATGTTGCTAACAAGAAATAGAGAAATATATATATAATTTCATTGTTGGGTTAAAAAAAGACAAAACCTGCATTCACAGAAATCAAACCCACAGTTGATCCAAATAAATGTTTTCATTACCGACAGTACCATCTAAAACACTCTAAAACACTACTACTACTTTTTCTGGCACAACTACAACAATTACTATTATTTCTTCTACTACTAATGATACAATTGAAAATAGTAACAATAATTTTAAAAAGTATCTAAAATGTAACATAATAATACTTTAAATAAAAGAATACATATTTCTAGTAAATCATAACTTTGTGTGATTTCAGAATACATTACTGGCACAAAAATAGAAATATGTATCTATGTATAAAACAGTATAGGCTAAAAACAGGTTAAATTATATAATTGCACCCCTTTATAAAGCATTTGTCTGGCCTCATCTTGAATATGCAGTTTTAGGCACTAGTTCACAAAAAGAAAGTCCTGAAACTGGAGTGGGGTGAAGAAGAACTAAATTAAATTAAGCAGCTTGAGAAATTCTAATTGAACAGAAAGGGGTTGATTTACTAACCTTATAAACACACCACGAACATGTATACACCTCTGTTGTGTGTTCCCTCCCAGCATGATCTATGGGTGGAATCTAAACACCTTTGTAGTGTGTACACACCCAGCAGGTGTGTTGTGCAAAGCCCTGCATGAATTGCAAGGTGATGTTGTGTAAATTAGCTCTATGTTATGTTGTTAGTGTTGATGAATGCAGGAATGTAAATGCATGAGCTAACCATTTTTGTCTAAACTGTGAAGCAGCATTATATATGCATCATGTGCATGATTTTTCCATATATGGCATTAGTGGAAATATGCTTTTAGAGACTTTTTGGTTGATAAATACGTTTTGCTGTGTGAAAATCACACGCACCTGGTGCGCACGTGTGTTTAGGTTAGTAAATCACCCCCAATGTGTTTAATTTTAAGAAGAGATTGGAGGTGGTGATACCTTTTATATAAATAGAAAATGGTCTATATAAAAAATAGAGGGTAGATGTTCACTTTAAGTTCACATCAAAAGACTCAAGGCAATACACTGCAATTAAAAAAAGTTTAACTTGAAGCTGCAAAACGGAGTGCTTTACTGAAAGAGTTTTAAATAGTCCACCAAAAATATTTACCTAGCTATATGACTTCAGTTCATTGTATTGCTGAGCATAGTTAAAGTGTATGTCCAGTCAAAACATGTTTTTGGTTGTGGCTAGAGTATTGAAGGATTATAATCTCTGCTGGGTTTTTCCTTCTATTTAGGGTGTCACTAGGGAGTAGACATGTGCAATTCGTTTCGTTCCGAATCGAAATTCGGACGAATTTTCGGAAATTCGGACATTCGGATGTCGAAAATTCGGTATCGGTAGTTCGAACGTTCGTTTCGTATTCTGTTCTTATTTGTTTCTTATTCGTTTCTTATTCGTTTCGTTCGTTGGAGCAAAGTGACATTAGAGAAGGAGAAAAATATTTTTTTCCCCCTCAAATGTCACTTTGCTGCAAACGAACGAACGAAACGAATAAGAAACGATTAAGAACAGAAAACGAAACGAACGTTCGAACTACCGCTACCGAATTTCGTCCGAATCCGAATTCCGAATCCGAATTGACTTTCACACCCGAATCCCGAAAAACGAAATAACACAAATCCGAATTTAAAACGAAATGAAACTAAACAAATTTTTTGGCAGTGCACATGTCTACTAGGGAGATTTCCCCTCACCTACAGGGTTATTCAGAAAAGCATGAAGAGTTTGGAGAAGGCATGAAAAGTGAACAATCTAGGCCAAAATAGCTGAATTGAAAAAAATCTCCAATTCAGCTCACTTTCCAGTTCAGCTTTGTTGTCCTAGATTTTTCACTTCCTGCCTTCTCCAAACTCTTCACCCTTTTGTAAATAGCCCTGTTAATATTAAATGTGGCAGCGCATGGCAAAGCTTTGTGACTCATTGCCATGCGTTGTGATACCTTGTGTTGCAATTAAATATACACCTGTATCATTTTATCACAACACAAACACCAAAACAATTTTTTACATAAGTCGATTATTTACAGTTTTGCATACCTTCATTTTTTTACCTTTTCGCAAAAAGGCGCAATTACAAATTTGCTAATATTTGTTATTTATTAACTCAATACAGTTTTATCTTTTAGATTTAGTCAAAAAATATTTTTTTTTGTGCACGGATACTGATTTTGGTGTGTTTTAACAATTGAATTGTGTATTTTTATCGGTTTAATATTAATTTGAGAAACATTTGCGCAATTATCGCAGGGCCTACAAATTTAGTATCACCATCTTTTTATTCTACCGGGCCTGCGCTTTCAGAAAATATATGGTTTGGGGGGTCTTTTACAAACGCTAGCAACGCAGCAGTTGAAAATCAAATCAATAGGAAAAAATTGCAGAAAATTCAAAAATGGCTTGGCCAGCTGATTTGAAAAATGTTCCGGAGGGCTTGGCAGCGAAAGGGTTAAGGTATTTATACATCAGCTGCTTGAGGGTAGTCACATTTTTAGGTTGTGGTGCAAACTTTGGATTTACGTATTGTTAATGTTGGACAACTCTGTTTAATCTGTAGTGAAATCACCAGCACTTTGTCACCCTGTGGAGAGGATAATTTTAGATAAACATATGGTTTCAAAAGAACTTTAAGTAAGTGACAAACAAATTAATGTCTGACTCCAGCTAACACTTTTTAAGCAATTACAGTAGCATTTTTTTCTTTCAGAGAAAGGGTTAGACCATATAAATAAAAGCTGAAAATTGTAAGCACTCCTGCCAGTGACATTAAATGTTAAGAAAAATATAACTAAAGGCTTGTGAAAAAAGACAATCATATCATAAATACTGTCATTACAAATTTTAACCACTTAAAGTCACCAGAATTCACATTTTTGTGATAGTGTGTGTTTAACATACACCCTGAAAATGTAAAAAAAAGTATGCATCATTGAGGAGAGCAGTTGACTATTTTAAACCAGGTAAACAACTCATTATCATAGTTGCATAAATAGTCAGGTTGAAAAAAAAAACACAGGTCCATTGAGTTTAAACTATAAACAAATATAATAACCTCCATAAACAGAACCCTATGCCCACAGTTACTCACAATTGATCCAGAGGAAGGCAAAAAAAACCTATAAAGCATGGTTTAATTTGCCCCAACAGAGGAAAACAATTTGTCCTGATCCCATAAGGCA